ATCCATATTATGCATATGGGTATTTTCTCTTGAAAATTTGAGTAGAAGTAGTTTAGAGTGTATTGTTGACACTGTATTTTTTATTGCTGTCAGTTTTTGGAAAGTTAGCAAAAATGGCGTCACCCGAAAAGCAACGTCACGAATTGATTTTGCGCAAGCACCTGGAAAATCCTCAATTCTCTCATCGGGATATCGGACAACAACTCGGAATCGTGCGTCAACGGTGAGTTGTGTGATTAATCGTTACTACGAAACCCTGAGCATCGAACGGAAGGAGAAATGCGGTCAGAATGGATGTTATATTAGTGATCAGGATCGCATGCGTGTCGTGAAAGCCTTTAAGCGGCATCCCAATGCTTCAGTCAGGTATGTGGCCAAAAAGTTGAATGTGCCCAAGTCTTTCGTTCAAAGAGCCAAGGACTGGGAGGGACTGCATACGTACAAAGTACATATGGCACCAAATCGTGACGAACGGCAAAATACGGTGGGAAAGTCACGGGCCCGGAAACTGTGTACCAAGATGCTGACGAAGCCTCATTGTCTTATCATGGATGATGAGACTTACGTCAAGGCGGACTTCCGGCAGCTTCTGGGGCTACTGCTCTTCACCACTCAGCACAAGTTTGATGTTCCGCAGGAAGTAAGTGATCTGCTCATGTGACAAACGGAGTGCACCGTTCGTGACTACCGGGACTGTCAACAGGGAGATCTACCTCAAGGAGTGTCTACAGAAGCGTCGTCTTCCTCTGTTGGAGCAATACGAGGGCCCTACGATCTTCTGGCCGGATCTAGCTTCATGCCACTATTCAAATGTTGTCCTGGAATGGTACGAAGCCAACAAGGTTACTTTCGTACCCAAAGACATGAACCCCGCCAATGCACCGGAACTAAGGGCCATCAAAGAATCAGTGGAGTTAAGCGTAAGGTGTGAGCGTACGGTTATGGTATTGAAGTTGAATAAAATAAATGTGCGAAACGCTTACTAATGGGTTATATTTTATTGTCTGAGAGTTTGAAAAGGATCTGTCGACTAGGAAATTTTCTACAGCGTTTTTTCCGTGATGCAATTTGAAGTGGGACGCCCTTTATTTCTCCCACGGTATTGAGGCAACCAGGCCACTCAAGTTGGTCTTGCGCGGCCTTCCCGACATGGAAACAGTCACTCTGTCGGATGAATTGAAACAACAAGTCGATCCAAATTTTCAAGATGAATCGTCATGTCGCTTCACGCAAGTACCGTGACCAGTCTTCACGAAAACATTTACCATGTTGGCTTGAACTTACCTGCAATCTTGAACCCATGTACATTTCACGCAATACACTCTGGTGTATCAAGTTGTTCGCAAGTGTATGCGCAGATGTTTGTACATGGGTTCACACACGGGCTTAAACACGGGTTGATTGTGCACGGAGCAAAATTTTCAGTTAGACGTGCTCGCCCTTTTGCGCGCCAGCAGTGTGAAGGTTGGTAGTCGACGCTCATGTTTGCAACAATTTGGCGCACAAGCGTCGGGTGAGTATGTCTAAGGGAGCATGCATTAGGTACGTCACGCAAAATGTAGGGTAAATCAACCCCCCTCTCATTTTGTCACGTTTTTCCTTTATCTCCTAATACATTGCTAGTCGCATATCTGTGAACCGCCCTCTCCCGCTTAGAGCGTGACGTACTTAATGGATGCTTCCTAACTGGGTTACAAGTTAAAAATCGTTCTAACTTTAACAACCCTTATTCCTGCCGACGCCGGTGGTGTAGTGGTAAGCGTGACTGCTTTCTAACACCCCAATGGGTCTAGGTTCAATCCCAGCCGAGGTCGGTGGGATTTTTCTGAGGGTGCGATATCCTACGCAGGTGTGGAAGCTGCCTTCCTGCACATTCGATTGCTGTCAATGGATGGCAATCGATGACTGTTGGTGATTGGCACTAGATTGCGGAATAGAGACCGACGTTAAATAAAGGAATGAACCCTTATGCCAGGAGTCCACTGTTGTGGCGAAGGTGTGGCATCTGCTAGCATGTTAAGGTGATACTCTAAGGAAGCCTTAGCGTGAAACTTTAAAGGCACAAATGTCAGCTTCCATAAAACATACAAATTTGAAATTGCTACTCCTTGTTTGCTGTGCTACTACAAACATAGAGTAGCAATTTCAAATTTGTATGTTTTGTGGAAGCTGACATTTGTGCCTTTGAAATTTCACGCTAAGGCTTCCTTAGAGTATTACCTTAAAACATCATGTCAACGCGTAGCACACGCCAAACGACTTCGACATGATGTTTTGACATGTTGTATGGTACCACAACCGCCACACCAGTGGGAGCCAATCGTCGACAAATTAAAAAAAATTGTATCGACAATTTTCTACGCAGGGGGAGGGGGAATCAAGAATCCCAAAAAAAACTGTCTACGTAGCTAATGAACAGCCCCTAAGAATAATTCTAGACAAACCGCTTGCTGTCAGTAAGTTGTAAGCGAAAGACTGAAATTTTTATGCAATTGCTCAAACTTAACTTCTTCTTATGAGTAGTCTTCACGGTACAAAATGTGTGCGAGGAACTCGTTAGTTTTGGCACTCGCTTGTTTCCCACATTTTATAATCGCTTCTTCTTCTTAGCTTTTGCGCGTGCACATTGGTGCGAGCCGAGGTGCGAGCTGAAGTTTGCACTTGTTCATTGTACCTATTTGCGTTCAAACTTGTGTACAAATATGCTTAAACATATTCGAACATAGAATGCGGAGAACAAGCGAGTGCAAAAACTAACGTACACATCGCATTCATGTTGTACGGTGAAGACTGACCGTGACCATCTGGTCCACCTGAAAAGGAATTTGACATGCTTGAAGGACCTCCAGAGCAATCGGGCCTTTTTAACTAGGTAAATGACTTTTTTTTCAAATGCCCGCCATTTTGTCAAATTTTGAGATTTTTCAAAGATTCTAGTTCATTCCATTCTCTGAACTATTATTATTATTATTTAGCTTTATTAAGGAGGCTTTCAGCCTTGGGCTGGTTCGCCTCCAATTCTCTGAACTACACTCTTCAAGAAACTGAGCCGATTTTCTTTCTAGGTGACGATTTGCGACCTCTAGGCTGCTCGTAGTTTTGGGAAGTACCCGCCGGGCAGCCGCCATATTGGACGCCATTTTGGATTTTTGGACTTGAAAAAATTTCCAGTTGTAGAGCAAGAATGAATAAAGATTTGACAAAAAACTCAGGTCTCTAACTCTTACCAGTTCCCTGGAAAAAAAATCCAAAGTTTAGGTCAATTGAACTGGAAATCCCCCTTAATGAAGCCTCTACGAAGAATCAACCTGGCCGCTGCAGAGTGCCAGAAAATAACCGGTAGAACTTTCACGTCATCCTGCAACGGCGCCAGGTATCTCACTATCTTACAAAAGCTCCCGTTGTGATAATTTCAGTTCAAATAATCAAACTTACACTGTGCTAGTTATTTTTTTTTTTTTTTTCATGACAATCGACATGCGCTGCTATTGTAACTTTTATATGCGTGAGGATTTTTTTTTTTTTTGACTTTTTCTACACCACGTTATTCAAATGGGAGCTACCCAAGCAACCAAAAGTTCTGCATTCCACGATAAACCCCCCTTTCAAGTTCCATAAAGTGCATAAAAAGTTCCAACTGAACTTTTTAGCTGCTTTAGAAGCTACACACTTAGCAATTATTACCGGCTTCGGTAGTTTTTACCGAACATTCAACAGCTGAACTTTTAATTCAATAGTTTTAAGGTTTCAAAACAAGTTAAACTTCACCGCAATTTTCAAAACTCGATCATTTAAACAAGGCTGACAGTGTTTTGAAATGTGTGTTCAGTGTAATAGTTTTTGATATGAGGGTGAAACTTTTACCGAACGTTCAACTGTTGAAAGTTTGGTAAAAATTACTGAAGTCGGAATAAATTTCTAAGTGTATATTCAAAGCACACGAGGAACTTCAGGCTCCAAAAAGTTTCTATACGTACTCTTAGCAGTTCAAAAAAAGTTCTAAACAACATCCCTAAGCACTTCTTATGGACTATAAGCAAGCCTGAAAACATGACCGCAACAAAGTTCCGAACAAGTTCCCAGCGAAACTTCTTAGCAACTTGAAAGTTTCTAAACAGGTCCGTCAAAGCCCTCATGAAACAATGGGCACAACTCTTTTTTAGTAACAAAATTTCATGTACTTAACTATGAAATGATCAGCATTTCATTCTTCAAACAGTTGTAATACTACTACTAATTATGATAACTCAATACACGTACCTGCCTTTAGAATGAACTTTCATATAGACCTGCTTCTTTAAGAATTAACTTTCATAAAAATGCCAGAAGACAAAAAACATTTTTTTACTTATTTTCTAAAAGTACCGTTCAAGTTCCGCCAGAAGCTGCTTAGAATGTTCTTCAATTATGGTACCGGAACTTTCAAGTTCTTATAAATACTTAAAAATGAGGCTGCTTGGAATTCTATAGACCACCTTCAACTAAGCTGCTTAAGCCTCAAATTGTCTTTTATCGGAACTTTTGATTACTGGGGTGGGTACCGAGGAACACCGTCGCGCACATAGCGGTTTTAACTCTTTCCTAAGTACCAATTACGATTGTGCAAACCATGTGGCCACTACTGTGATACTTACTGCAAGGTTACAACTGCCCATTATGCATAAAACATGTTTCTAGAAATAGTTAAATCACTACATGTTTTACTTGCAAGTTACAAGAAGAGGTTATAAAGCAAGCTTTCTAAGAGCCATAAACACCGATTCTATGATCGCTGAGTGAGTTCGTGAGTAAATAATGATTGCTTCTCTCAGGAAGTGAAATTGACAAGTTTCAAAGTCAAATACATGTTTGCATCCTCCTCATCCTCTTGTATCATACAAAAAAAAAAACAATATGACCATAATATCAAATGATTTCATCATACCGAAATGTTTTTTTGCGAAATGAGTATTTGCAACCTTGACTTACTGAATCAAAAACCCAAGTGATGATGCTACTATTTATTGGCTCAATTTTCGCTTGATCATCATTCTAGACCGTTTCAATGAGTAGTCGTCTCCTTTGAACGGATTCCATGTCATTCCTTTGCCGTGATATTTGGTATGATCGACTGATCCCGACAGGTATTGTCCATTGAGGTTGCTAGAAATGAAAAACATGTTCACGCACCAAACATTAAATGACATAGAAAATGACCTCATCTCACCTGTAATGTCCTTTCCGATACCACCACGCTCCGGTAAAATCGACTCCACCGTTATGTCCCATCACATCATGATTCATATCCATGGTAGAAAATTTGGAGCCCTTGTGATAGCTCAAACCATCTCCTGCCGTTCCGCTGTAGCCTCCCAGCTTCGTTATGGCATATGATTCGTGTTCATTTCCTATAGCAAAGTTAGAATATTGTGCGACCACGGATGAGTTTTTAAAATCCTCCAACAGCACGTGCAGCTCATAGGGAGCGGAGTAAGTCAACGCATGTAATTTTTCCAGACCAAGCCAAAACTCTCCGTTCAAATTACCGAACCCGTTTTTGTACTCTTTCCATCCGCGGTAGAAATCCACAGATCCGTTGAACCGATTTTGTACCACTATCCAGCCTCCTCCTTCGTACTCTTGGTCGCAGAACACCGGGAACGGTTCTCCAAACCCTGGATCCGGAAGAAGCTTTTCAATTTGCGAGGCATTTCTCGGTGCTCCATCACAACTATCGTATATTTTTTGCTCAACTGGAACTACTCGTGCTGTGATTGATTCACCTTTCACAGGATGTGCTTGTTTCTGGCGGTGACCTTCAACTAGCAACGATTCAATAATTGTAACACTACCAGCTAGCGCATCCAATTGCTCGTGTGAGTCATTTTTGAACAGCTGAATTTCCTCTCTGACAAGCCCAATGTCCTTCTGCACCTTGTGCATCGACTGACTAATGTTTTCGACCTGTTTCAAGATCCTATCTAACTTCGATTCCAACGAAGAGAACTGCTCTCGTGATGCCACTTCCACTCGGGAGATTCTGCAATGGAGAGTCCCATAAATCACAATGAAACCGTGCGAGAAAACACGTTCAATAAAACATTCTTACTTTGTATCCAATATCTCCAGCTTGGCGAGCAATTTCTGATAGTCGAGACCCGGTTCTGGTTCATCGCTACCCAATGCTGGAATTGTAGCACACGCAATCCACTCGAAGCAGTAAATCACGGCAAACAGAGCCAAGCAATGACGATGGCACATGCTTGCAGTTCAAGATCTCGACCAACACTGTAAACGCCGTTTCGGTTCCAAATTTCATACTTTGGAGAAGTAGATTGTAAATATACAGGTATAACGAACAGCGATTCGGTAGATGGACACGACAACGATGATGTGAGCCAATTATCGCCTTCTTGTTACGATTTGGAATGAAATTTGAACGAAATCGAAAGCCCAACTTCGAGTCAAACCAGCAACCACCGAATGGGAATGGTGAATGAATTCGAGAGAGAGAGAGCGAGAGAGAGAGAAGGAACAAATAAACTTTACACCGTAGTAAATAGTTTTAACCTGTAAAACTGTCATCCTACTACAATTACAACCAGCTCTTCTACAGTAATGACCTAATTTTGTCAGCCCTCCAAGCGTTAGACTTTTATCTCCATAATTTCACATAACAGTAATTCCAAATTTTTCTCTGTCATCTTTAAGATGTAGGTTTAAGGTATACTTTGGTGCAATAAGAAAATCCAAAAAGCGCATGGCTTTCGTAGCAAGTATTGCTGAGGAAATTGAGTACTTGCTGCACAACAAAAAATAAATTTAAGAAATGTTCAGTGTATATTTTCATTTGATAGTATTTAAATAAACATCATAAGAGAAAGAAATGAAACATATTATGTGACTCATTACTCGTGATAATGATTATGGACATCAACACCTCGGAATGGTAAGTTAAAATCGATGATCTCACTAAATTAAAGTTTCAATAAACTTCTCTTTCCTTACTTTGACTATATGTTTTGTATTACTTCTGCGTGAAGTCAACGATTTACATAGTTGAAGATGCTAATTTCAAATAACAGTCAAAAATGGTAATTTTTTTTTTATACGATAGATGAGGAGATGAAAGTATAGAGTTGAAAGTTCCGTTAGAGTACGGCAGTGTGAAAATTGCATATAGAGAGTAGAAAGCGAGCAAGGACAACTTTAGGAAGGTACAAATCGGTTTGATCATTTCTCTTTACCAAACTCTCCTGTAAGAGAGGGATGGTAAGGGGTATTCGCTTTCTAGAACCATTTTCACTGGGTCGTCGTGCGACATTCTTACGCCGTGCTCAGCTCACCGTAGTTGCCCAATTTTTGTAATTTTGACGATGGATGGTTCTCCCAGCAGTTGGTACAATTCGTGGTTCATTCGCCTCCTCCACGTTCCGTCGTCCATCTGCACTCCACCGTAGACGGTACCCAACACCTTTCGTTCGAAAACACCAAGGGCGCGTTGGTCCTCCACGATCATAGTCCAGGTCTCGTGGCCGTAGAGGACCACCGGTCTAATCAGCGTCTAGTAGACAGTCAACTTCGCGCGGCAGCGAATTTTATTCGACCGGAGCGTCCTCTGGAGTCCAAAGTAGGCACGATTCCCTGCTATAATGAGTCTTTGAATTTCTCTGCTGATATCATTTTCGGCGGTCACCAGTGAGCCCAAATACACGAACTCATCGACCACCTGGAACCACCATTCGAAATAATTTCACCAAGCGGGTTCCTTCACTCAATACAGCAACAACGGCAACAACGGCAACAACGGCAACAACGGCAACAACGGCAACAACGGCAACAACGGCAACAACGGCAACAACGGCAATAACAGCAACAACAGCAACAGCAGCAACCTTAAGTGGAGGCACGGCCAAACAGCACAAACAATGGACCTTTTTCGGAAAGGAATGCGCACTAGCTACTATCTGTTATGTAGGATTATTCTAACAGTATTTCACCATAACACAACTTAGTTCACAGCAGCAACGTTACCACTATCAAAAGATACAACTATTGAAAATAAAATTGAGTTGAAACACAACTAATTTACAAATAATACTCGGACAATAAAAAATTCGTATCAACCATCGACGTCAGTGTTACCTAAATTGACTTCATTATTTATTGTATTTGTGTGGTTTACATGTATGAATTATCAAGTGACACAGATGCGTCTTTTCAACTTTAGGCTATTTGAATTTATTAATTATTAATTAAAGTTCCTAGTCCTATCAGGTCTGCTTTAAAGAATGACCACCTTGGTGGGATTGGTTTGTTTTAAATTGAAAAAAGGAAACTACTTAAAACTACTATGTACAACCTACAACTAAACTAATGTTCAGATTGGGTACATTTTTGGATAAACTTGTTTCTAATTTCGTCTATTTATAATCTATTCTGGGAATGTCCACCTCTTGGTGTAGGTTCGTTATTCTAGTGTCAAAGTGTTCCTGTAAGTTTGAGGACATGATTCCCACACCGGAGCTGCGTAGAAGATCGCAGGTACTATAATTTGTTTGTAGACTGCCAGTTTATTTACCCTTGAGAGACGGGATCTGCGGCAAATCAACGGATACAGACACTTATTCAAGGCGGAACACTTGACTACGGTTTTCTCTACATGCGAGCGGAATAGGAGCTTTTCGTCAAACAACATCCCGAGATAGGTTACTTCGGCGGACCACTCAACCCTTGTGCCATCCATGATTACAGTACAAGAGAGCAGGGCTGTCTTGCATCAACGTAGAGAGAGCAAAGTCAGTGATGAAAAATATTGTATTACTATCTTCGTCGCACTCCAAGCAGCGCATGACAAATTCCGTATGAAGACATTCATTTACGTCGTGAAAAAAAACTAGCTCAGTACGTTCTCTCTCTCTTATGCTGGGTTTAGACTAGGCAAGTCAAATGATCAACTCAGTTGAATTCAATTGGCTTGAAAAGTTGAGCCTGGTTCAACTTTTTTCAATTCAAGTGAGTTGATCAAGTCAGTTGAATGGCATGGTTTACACGTTCAATTCGCGTTCAAGTCAGTTGAATTCAACTGACTTGATCAATTGACTTGCCCTGTCTAAACCCAGCTTTAGATCGGTCGGTTACTCGGAAAGGATTAAAAGCTGCTCGTTTTAGTCAGCCGTTCCGTATTGTTTGACAAAAAGTGATGATAGTTGGAAGCAACACAAAAAACTTAAAATGGGTGCAAAACGGGTTCGAACCACCAACGTTGAGATTAACAGGCTTGTATCTTCCTTACTGGTTTATCAACGCTTAGGAGACTGGATAGGCTAAAGGAAAACAAGAAGCGCTCATAGTGTGGTTACTAGTCTGCTCACATGCACGTTCGACGGTATTTGCTTTTTTTTTTGTCCATGCATGATACAGAAAAGAGAAGTGAAGGTAAAAGATGCGATAGGATTTGTTCAAAGGGATTACTGTCGGCTTCTATTCGTCAATGATGAAGAATGTATGGAAATGATGCTTTTTGTACAGCGACAATTTATTTTTGGTTTTCGTCAAACGTCACTGACCAAACTGACCGTTACCAACTCTGCAAGAGAGAGCCGGTTTTAGTTTGGGCGATTGCCAATGGAGGAACATGATTGTTTGTGTTTTGGAGGCATTGATTTGGATCGTTGGAGCTTATTTGTTATTGCGCGAGGCATCCTACCCTTTACGGCTATTACGGTATCATCTGCAAACAGGAAGAACACGCAATCGTCTCCGAGGGGAGGAATGTCGGAAGTGTAGATGCTGTAAAGCAAAGGCCCAAACAGATTTCCTTGCGGAACACCTGCTGTGATGGAAAACGTGTCTGAAAGGCAGCTATTCAACGATATCCTGAACGACCTTTGGTAGTTACGGGTGATTTTAACAAGATGCAAAGGAAAGTTGAAGCTACAAAGCTTGAATACAAGCCCATCGTGCCAGAAATTGTCAAACGAGTCAACGAGTATAAATGCCATGGCTGTGGGCTTGGATACAGCCATGTTACTTCGGATGATATTTATCACCCGTACTAGCTGATGATTTGTGGAGTGCCCCTTCCTGAACTCGAACTTTTCGGGTAGGAGAATGTTGTGTTGCGATCGGTCAATAGCTTGAAGTCAATGTTGGGTCCTTCCCGGGTTTGCGGATAGGTATGATTTTTGCTGTCTTCCAGATGCTTGGAAAGTAGTGCAGTTCCAAGCATCTGTTGAAGACAGCGGCCAGCAGAGAGTGATTCAACACTAGGTTGAATATTCCGTCGAATCTTCTTCATGATTTTGGTGAATTTCAGCGCTGAGCAAATCTGTTCCACTGAGATCCTATCTTCCAGAGGGATAGCGCATTGCGCAACCAGATCTTCGAGTGGACTTTGGATGTTGGAGCCAAGCAAGTACGATTTAGCAATATGCTCACTTATCGTATTTGTATTCTCCTGAGGGGTGATGATGAGCCGATCGTCATCATATTCATCTTTAAGGGGTGAAATGGGGTTGGGGTGCGCCTTTAGGACCTTGGCAACCTTCCAGAATGATCTGGAGCGGTCGTCCAGATTCTAGACGAGCTGGCCGAAACTTTCTTTCCGGAGTGAGACCATTCTGGAAGCAATCACCTTGTTCAGATCAGCCATTCCACGTTTCCTCGCTAGATCTCCGGTTCTTTGGAACTGACGTCTACGAATATATCTCAGGCGAATTAAGATTTGGGTATGGGAGTCAATGACAATTAACTCACCGCTCACAGGAACTCGTCGGACGCATGCCTCGTCAGCAACGGTTATGGCTTGATGGAGTCCCTCCAATGCTCGGTCGATGTTCTCCACGGTGTCAAGCGGCTGGTTGTCGATGATGTGCCTGTCTACCAAGCGTCAAAACTGGACTCAGTTTACGCGGTGGTAGTCCTTTCGCAGGCTTGAAGCAGGGGGCACGTTGCCGCCCAGTTCAGCCACCACCGGTTGGTGGTCGGAGCTGAGTTCGTTCAAGGCTACCGGCTTGGATAAGCCGGTATTTGTCAGGAACAGGCTGAGAACCAAGCAGACAACCATTCTGGTTCTGCTGGTAGTTCCGGCAGGGCTCATGGCGAGCATTCAGATCTCTTCCAACAACGAAGCGGGAACCAGTATGGGTGATGGTGGACAGGTCCTTCTTGAATTTAGTCGCTAGTTCACTGCTAGCGGCACACTGTCGAGAGCAGTAGACGGCAATGAACTGGACGTATCCAGTCGACGACTTCACCTCCACACCAAGAGCCTCGATGCATAAAGGTGCGGATATGGGACAGACTGCGGTATTTTATC